CCGTTTACACATCTTGACCTTTGACCATTGACCCCCAAATTTGTCATCCTGAATCCTTTTCAGACCCCCCCCCCCTGACATCCCTAATATCGTGACCGTACGTCGAGCGGTTAAGATTTGTGCCCAACTGTTGACGCACGGACGGAAAGACAGACAATCATGCGATTCTACAAGCTGCATCTGACTTCGTCAAATGAGCTAAAAACCAAGCAGAATTTATAAAAGCATATAGGGCCACCCCGAGACGTTGTGCAAACGTCTGTTGCATGTAATCTGACCACATGAGAAAAATTCCCCAATACATAACTGTTTTTTCCCAATCTCCAAAGTTAAGTTTGTTAGTAAAAAATAAAATAAACTTGTCTAAATAAATAATATTGACATTTGAATTATCTAGTCTGTTCCGATTACATCCAGTTGATTTGTCGATTACATCTTTCCTTCGACAAATTAAGTCTATGTATATATAACTTCTTAAATTTTACCAATCCCTACATGAGGCAATTTCCTTATTTTAATTTTTAACATTAGAAAATTTCCATTGCAACTGGATAGCATCCTAAAAAATAATTGAACAAAACGTGATGAAAAATACCAGATAACAGTAACACTGAGAGGTAAAGATAGTAATATACTATACACTCAAAGTCTCAAACACACTAGATGAACACATGTATGGCAAGGAGACACATTCAAAGATTTGCTAAAACAGTTAGAAGGCTTCTTAGGTTAACTTTAATGGTGTATTTTATTGTGCTCACTAAGTTCGATTTATTATTAATGTTATTTACTCAATATATGGAAAATAGCCACCTGGTCCTGTACGAAAAAATATTAGGGGCCCAGCTCATATTTTAGGGACTTAGCTTATCACATGGACTGATGTTTGGGGTTTGGGGTTCTTGGAAACTGACACTAAAATAGGGGCTGTATCTGACATGCAGAGCAAATATTAAAATATTAATTTCGATCACTACTTTCAGAGGTGGCCCAGATTAGGACTAATAAGTCATCTAATCTGAGACAGAGTCAAATCACTAAATGTAAATTGTAATACCTTGATCACTACTAGTCAACGACACTAGTAGTATTACACTGTAGCTGGGGGCATATGCATACCCATTAGACACTTCTAAAAATAGCTGCCATGCAAATGTTCAGCTGCCCGAAATCCAATACATTAGAAAGACCCAGAGCACACATGTATACGAACTTACTGTTGCCTTCTGGGCATGACGTAATGATTTGTATGGGGGATACATAAGAGAAGCAATGTAAAAATACAAAACCAATATACTTGCACAAGCTAATAAGATTAGATTTGAAGACTTTCTAAAACATTAATTATTATTATCATATATAGTATAATAAAATAAAATATGTATTCATCAATCCAGTCATAAGTTGTTTGGTCTCTCTCTGCCTGTATACTATTGCTAAGCTCGCACTCCAGACAGATACAAACTAGTTCTGAATTAAATCCCAGGAACCTACAGTACTATTGCCAGTGTTGCGTTTCATGAAAGCTACTTAACATAACAGCTACTATTTGCTCTGTTCGTCTCATAACTGGGTGCAGATTTTGTAGTGTTGCTATAGCAGGGTGCCAAATTAACGGGAGTCCGGAGTCGAAAACTCCATGATTTACTGTCGGACTCCCTGATTTGACATATATTATATATGCAGGAGTCTGTGTGACTCCCTGAAAACTCTGCCATACTATTACTAACTAGTTCAGTTCTGGAGCACGGCCTCGCAGAATTACTGTATTTTTTCAGCTAATGTCAAAAGAAAATTTGGCAGACGTGCAACTGCATGAATCTTAAAAATAAGCACATGCGTTATTGTTAATATCTTTAATTTTGAACCTCAGACTGCGGACTCTCTCATTTTGCTGCGGACTCCCTCTTTTTGAGGGTAGGGAATCCGTTGGACTCCCTTGTTCAAAAGTTAATTTCTACCCCTGTATAGCATATAAATACAGTTGCATGGTTTAGAAATTGTTCGGCCATGTTCAAGTTACCAAACAACCAAATTATAATGTAGTACCATCATGATTCTGCACACACCATGCATGGAGACACTGGTGCGTCTGCACAGCCATATATTAAAAGATGTGAATACGTGAGAGATAGAATCAGAGATAGTATAGAATATAGATAGTATAGAACTTCAAGCATCAGTAGACACATGTAACCCTGACCCATTTGTCAGACTTTCAGAACCTGCAGCTCTACGTAAAACCAGTCACCCGTGAATGTTACAACAACTTTCACTAGCCTCATGGACAATGTGCCCTTGTATCACAGAACTCACTCCTGCCAAAATGTTCATTTGAATTATGCATTTAATGAAGAATAAAAATGACTGAAAATGGTAAAGTAAATTATGCAAGCTTGACTTCAACCTTGGCGTAGATTCACTTGGGGGAAACTTACAGCCTTATTTTAAAATCTACAGCCCTTGAAAGAAATAGCAAACAGTTATGACACCATAACCACTAAAATGTCATAACTTTTTAAGTGTTGCACAAAAGTTATAACACTTTACACTTATGACAGTCATAAACATTTGAGTTTCTGACAGCTGGCCACTGGATAACAAGTAAAAATGCCTCACCATTGCTATATATTGTTTGTACTAATCAGGGCACGAAATTCAGATTTTTTTTGCACCGGCCCAGATGGCTGGTAAACAGTAAAGGCTCACCATAATTTACCAGCCCTCACAAATTTGTTTGTAAAATCAATGTCATGTTTCATGCATGCATACTCGATTTCAAATTTGTAAAATGTTGATAAGTTATGGCGTGATATCC